AGCAAATTTAATCATCAATAATTGGTTTAAAAATCAGGGGTAAATTTTGATTGCTTTTTATCAAAAATTATAAAATTGTCTCAGACCTTGATTTTGATGGTGATGAACCCATATAATTATTAATAATAATAATTATCTTAAATCATATAATTAAATATTTGATAATTAAGACTATAAGTTGTATTTTTAATACATATTTTCTATATCATTTTTTCATATATTGCATTAATAGTAACAATAATTTTAAAATTTTATTTTTGGTTTAAAGTATTATTATCTTGATTTTATAAATGAGAGTTTTGATGAATTTAAAATAACTTTATTACATTTATTAAGTTATTTCTATAAAGTATATACTATGAAACTATTTATAACAAATGTTTATTATAATTAATTAATATTTTATATTATCAATATTTTACTTTTACTATTTCAATAATTGTTTCAATATATTTTTATTAATTGATAAATCCTAAATTTCATCTTTCAATAAAAAAATTTTATTTTTTATATTATTCATTATATAAATTATAAATTTCAGTTATATTCTTATAAGACTTCTATAATTTTTTCTTTAACTCTTCTATTTAATTTTTAATTTTCTAATTATTATTACATTAATATAATTTAATTATTAAATCTATTATTGATTGTAACTTTTGCTGAATTTTCAATTGATTAAACTTCAAAATCTTTTTAATCTTATTAAGTTCAACAATTGGATTAGTATAATAATGAAAAATATTACATTACTTTTATTATTATTTAATCAAAATTTTTATTTTTTGTATAGAAATTATAAGATATTAGTAAAATTGAATAACAGCAATAATTTGATTATAATATCTTTTATAAATTAAATATAATTTTAAATAAAAATAAATGTTAAAAATTTCAGAAAAATATTTATAATAAATTTCAATTGATTAGCTTTTTTCTGATTATTAGTATTCTGATATTTTTGTGATTGCATAATCTTAATTTAATTTTAAAATAAAAAGATATTAAAAAATTATTTAAAATATTTGTTATAAATAAGATTATATGAATGTTTTGCAATAAAAAAAGGAGGAAACTACCAAAAAAATTTTTTTATTTTATAAGCTAAATATTTTTTTTTTTTTTAGATAAATTCAAATTTAACATTAATTCAAAAAATTTTTTTTTGTAATTCCTTATTTTTTATTACAAAATGCTTTTTTTTGAAATGTTGACTATGAGAAATTATTTGTGATTATGAGAATTAAGATGTCTTCTATTGACTATTCATATAGTTTTTGACATTAAAAGAATTTAGATGTAAAAAATGAGAGCCAATCAAATTTCAAGGATTTTTCGCAGATCATTCTCCAAATTTGGTAAAACCCCTGACTGTATTATGGGTCTCAATAAAACGAAATAATGTTCGTTTCTTTCGAGTTTAGAGAAAAAAGCCATCCAATGTTAAATGATTTTCTTGATATAAATGCGTTTTTTCTAAATAAAATCTTTTCTCCTGACTGAAATTAGCACGTTTTTTTTAAAAAATAAAATCATCTCCTGAAATAAATTAACGCGATTTTACTAAAGAAATAATTAGCTTTTTTAAACGTTTTCTAAAAAAATAAATCTTCCCTTGAAATAAATTAACGCGTTTTTTTTTAAAAAATAAAATCTTTACTTGAAATAAAATAAGAGCGATCTTTCTAAAACCAAAAATAAATTTGCCGTTTTTTCTAAAACCAAAAAAATCAAATCAAATTTTTTCTTCTGCGCGTTTTTTCTAAACCAAATCAAGTCAAATCAAATCTTTTCTTATAACAATAATATCAAAAATGCGTCTTGGTGATTTTTCATTTGAGATTCTTATTAAGAATAAAGTACTTCCGGAATATGAAATACCGATAGATGATGTAAGGTTTATATTTAAAACAAAAAAAAATAAATTCACGTACTAAAACTCGAACTTAAATTAAAATTTTTTATTTTAGGATGCAAAGTTGGTATCTTATTCTCAAGAATCTATTAATAAAAAAATGGCTCTGAAAAAGGAGAGGTAAAAAAATTGATTATTTACTTATATTTTATCATCCTTTTTTTTGTTATATCAATCTTATGGTATTTATTTTTATTTAGTAAATATGTGACTTATGTCGCAGTTCCAGAATCTTCCAGCCATTTTGCCATTAGAGTAGGGGTACACTCTACCAAAGATCCAAACTTATTTAAAGGGTTACACATTATGGATGGAAAGAATGACAACACTCATATGGAAATTAATCCTATGAAACGAGAGGAACCCTATTCATATATTTATGGTTTCTACAACAATAACAAATCCATCTTTCACCTCTTTAAATTCGACCCAGAAAGTTGGATAGACGATAATGTTTACATTTCCAATATGCCGAAATTTAATCCTTCCAAAATCACAAAAAACAAAGGTGGTTTGGGAGCGATTTCATTATATATATATAAAGCAGAAAGAATACCTGAAAAAAGGTCTTCTTCGAAAAATAACAATCCTCAAAGCCTAGAAATCTCTTCTTTAGACGAACTAGCCTTTGACCCCGCGGACATAATCTTTAATGATATGCAAGAAGAACCATTTGTAAATCTTAAAACCCTTCATCCGCATCCAGTCGCAAGACTGCACATATTTTATCAAACCAAAAAATGGCTCAATCATAAATACAAATCGAAAAGATTACCCGTTCCAAGATCTTTATTATTAGATGATGATCTGCAACAAATTGATGAAGATATTATAATGAATGATGCTCGGAATGAAGAATTGATTGAAAACCATTTATTAACGTCAAACAATGACACTGAACAAGAAGAAAAAGATTCTTTATCATCAAACGATTTTATTATTAAACAAGAAAAATTGGACTCTTTATTATTAGATAATGATAATAAACCAAAAGAAGATTTATCATCATCATCAAATAATCATAATGGAGATATCATCAATAGCAACAATCTTAATCATTCTAATATAGAAAATATAGCATGTAAAGTTGATGGTAATATAGAAATTAAAGTAGATCAATGCACAATTTTAACTATAAAGAGCAATATTGACGATATAAATCTTAACAATAAGTCCAATAATGAAAAGCTTGATAAAAAAGCTAATATTAATGAAAAGGATTCTACAAATGAAATTAATAATACAGATTTTAATATTGTTGAAGGCATTGATAAATTTGAATCAAATAGAGAAAATATTAATGCAAATATTAATCGTGAAGACAAAAATCTTAATGATGTAGTTAATGGTCAGACCTTTATTGCAGAAAATAATTCTAACGAAGAAAACGTTATCATAATTAATGATGAAAAGATGATGATTGATGATGACGAAATAACGTTGATTAGCAAAGTAGAATTTGAAAAGATGTCGATAAAAGAAACAATTGATTTAACAATAGATTCACCAAAAGAAATAATCGAAATTAGTGATGATGATGATGATATGTTATTATAAATAATCAAGAATCTTGATAGATTTCAAAACTGTAATGATTCTAATAATTGGTAATTATGTTATACAATTGGTTTTCTACAAAAATAATTCAAATAAAATACTACAAATTCTAAATACTTTCTATAACATTTCTACTTTTTTAGTTACTTTTATTTTTATTCGAGATAATCTTCAATTGGTGGGCAAGAACATATCAAATTTCTATCTCCAAATGCGTCATCTATGTCGGAAAGAAGAATATAATATATATATATTTTTTTAACGAATATTAGCGTACTTTAAATAGATATATGAAATAGTAGTTTTCTATAATTCTATGTAAAACTTACCGAGCCTTCCAACCGATGGCCAAAATTTATGAGTTGTTAAAATTTTCATCGGAAAAGCCGCTTGTTCTCTGCTATACGCTTTATCCCAGGTAGTTGAAATTAACGTTTCAATAGTATGTGGTGAATTTGTTAATACATTATTGTCTATTGGTTGTTGACCGTTTTCAATAGAACTAATCTCTTCCCTAATTGAAATCATTGCATCGCAAAATCTATCTAATTCTGCTTTGGATTCTGATTCTGTGGGTTCTATCATCAGTGTATTTGGTACTGGCCATGACATTGTTGGAGAATGGAATCCATAATCCTGAGATAATGAAATAGGTCGATATTATTATAACTTTCTACCTTTAAATAAATAAAAATAAAGAATACCTGAAGACGTTTGGCTATATCTATGGCTTCAATTCCTGCGGTTTTTTGAAATGGTCTGATATCAATAATAAACTCATGAGCACACATTCCATTTTGATTGGTAAATAAAATTTTATAGTGGTTGGACAATCGGATTGCCATATAATTAGCATTAAGCAATGCGAGATGCGTAGCCGCCGTTAATCCTTTACCGCCTGTAATAATTAATTCAAATACAAATAAATAAATTTCTTAATATACCAAATTTATCTAGACGAAAGTTAAATAACTAACCCATCATTTTTATATACGCCCAGGAAATTGGTAAAATATCCGGTGAACCGAAAGGTGCTGCTGCTACAGGTCCAATGCATTTATTGCCACCAGTTTTTACAACTGGATGACCCGGTAAAAATGGTACAAGGTGTGATTTGCTAATAATAGAAAGAAAATTAAATTAAATTTTTTTTTTAAATATATCAAATATAATTCACATTTATAAGTAAAAACTAACACGCCTATGGGACCAACTCCTGGTCCACCACCACCATGAGGTATACTAAATAAATGATGGAAATTGAATTAAATAATTCGTTTCTAAAAAGAAAAAAAAAAAAAAGTACAATATATTATATAATAACTGTTTATACCAAAATGTTTTGTGTAAATTCAAATGACAAACATCCATTCCTATGTCAGCTGGTGTACATAATCCAATTTGTGCATTTAAATTAGCTCCATCCATATATACTTGCCCACCATTTTGATGAATTATTTCACACGCTTTTACAACGCCATTTTCAAAAACACCAAATGTTGACGGATAAGTAACCATAAATGCTGCCAAACTATCTTTATATTTGGTGGCCTTCTCTTCCAAATCTTTCATATCAAGATCACCGTTATTTTCACATTTGACAGGTACAACTTCCATACCTGCCATAGCAGCCGAAGCAGGATTTGTACCATGAGCTGATACTGGAATTAGACAAACATTGCGCTTATCATCGCCCCTTGATTTATGATATGCTCCGATAACACGCAATCCTGTGTATTCTCCCTGAGCTCCAGAATTTGGTTGTAAAGAAATACCATCAAATCCTGTTATAATGGCAAGATCTTTTTCAAGTTCCTTAAATAAATAAAAAAAATATATTCTAACATTAGTATACTTCATGGAAACGCGCTTCTTTTTCATTATATCAAATAAACTTACTTTAATTAAGATTTTATAACCCTCAGCTTGGTTATCTGGTACAAATGGATGCATATTTGCGAATTCAGGCCATGTTATTGGGATCATTTCCGTGGTAGCATTGAGTTTCATAGTACAGCTTCCTAAAGGTATCATAGAATGAACTAATGAAAGATCCCTTGATTGCAAGTGATATATGTATCTTAGCATTTCAGTCTCCGAATGATGAGAATTAAACACTTGATGTTGCATAAAAGGTGAGGTACGAATAAATTTCTGAGGAATAGCCGCTTTATTAGCTGGTTGTAAATCCGAATTCTTGTACAAATCCTTGGAGAAAATTTGAATAATTTCCAACACATCTTGCTTTATAACTGCCTCGTCCAATGTTATACCAACAGTATTATTATCTACTTTACGAAAGTTGATATTAGCGGCTGCAGCTTTTCGAATAATGTCATCAGCGCCATTCTCAATATGAACATTCAATGTATCAAAAAATGCATCATTCTTGATTGAATATCCCATCCGTTTAATTTCTTCGGCTAAAGCGTTAGTTAAAGTATGAATACGTTTCGCAATAGCTATGATTCCCTTTGAATTCATTGAGAAATATTTAGTATGTAAATTGGAAAAAAGTAAGAATATTATATTTAAAGCACCTCAGGTCCATGATATATAGCATACATAGCAGACATATTAGCCAAGAGTGCTTGTGCGGTACATATATTACTAGTAGCTTTTTCCCGTCTAATATGTTGTTCTCTTGTTTGTAACGATAAACGGTAGGCCTTATTTCCATTTGCATCACGCGAAACACCAACTAATCGACCAGGCATTCTTCGTTTATGTTGATCTTTGCAAGCAAAAAAGGCAGCATGTGGTCCGCCATAACCTAATGGAACACCAAACCGCTGACTATTACCTAATGCAATGTCAGCACCCCATTCTCCTGGTGGTGTTAATAAACTTAGTGCCATCAAATCAGTTGCACAAACCACTTGTCCACCTAAGGAATGAATTTTGGTAGAAAGGTCTGAATAGTCATTAATGCTACCGTCTGTTGCGGGATACTGAATAAAATATACACGTGTATATATATTCCATTATGTTAATAAAGATATTTATATCTAAATATTTATTCTTATAATATTTAGTTTAGTTGGCACATTACCTGAACTAAGACGCCAGCTAAATCATTTGGGTGTTGGTTTTCAAATTCATATTTTAGTACATCTCCTATTATGACATTGATCCCAAACCCTTCAGCACGTGTCTGAAGACACGCAATAGTCTGGGGATGGCATTTCTCATCCACAAAAAAGGTATGTCGTTTCTGTTTTCCTGCAGAAAAAGACATCAACATGGCTTCCGCAGCCGCAGTTCCCTCATCAAGAAGAGAAGCATTGGCGATATCCATGCTCGTGAGATCAGTAACCATAGTTTGAAAGTTTAAAAGTGATTCCAGACGACCTAAAAGTTGTTATGGTAATATTAAAATATTTACATAATGGTTGATGAATTTAAAAGGATCCAATAACAAACCTTGAGAGATCTCGGGTTGGTAAGGAGTATACTGCATACAAAATACGACGGCAATCGTTCATTATTATGAGTTCCATTGTTGAATCTTTATTTGCATAGGCAAATGGTTCACTGCCAGACCGATGAAAGTCATTTCTTTTATGCGAAAATTCTTTCAGGTTGCCAGTATCATATTTAATTAATTTAATAATACTTACTTGTGTATACCATCCCGGAGATTCCAAAATATTTCTTAGAATAACTGAAGGTACAATTGTATTTGTATAACCCATGCCTATGTATGATTTGTAAACTTTGTTTTTTGAAGCAATATCTCCCAGTCGTTTCAAAAGCTCACTTTCGGTAAGACCACCTTCTAAAGCCAAAGCCTGTGTAGACCGAATGTTAGCAGGAATTGTTTTATTAACCAATTCTTCCATATCTTTCACGCCAATAGTATCAAGCATTTCTTTTATCTCCGCATCTGATGATCCATTATGTCTTTGAGGAAATGTGTCTAAAGGAGAAAACGCGTCACATTTTAATGGGGTTGAAGAAAATGTTCGGAATGTCTTTGGAAGATTCGAGATATGCGTAATATTCTTTAAGTTGATTCGATTCGAAGTTAATCTTTGTGTTGAAACATGCATCACATTTGTCGAAGGTGTCACATGTGTCGCAATGGTTCTAAGTCGTCTCGATAAAATCAAGGATGTTTTTGTTCTTCGATAAATTGCTCGATAAAACATGATGCACTCTATTATATGGATTTGTAATTGATAAAGTTGAATAAAACAAGAATTAGCATTAATGCTTTATTGATATAATGATTTCCTTGAAATACAAACTATAAGGTATATATGAAAACTACCTAAAATTTACAAGAGCAAGTAAAAATCAAAAATGATCTTTTTTTAAAGACCTTTTTTATTATTATTTTATCGTTTCACAAATTCGGAAAAAAATGAAAATTATCTGATTAAGATCGGCGAAATTCGGCGGTTAAAAAAATTTTTTATTGTTGATTGATACTCCCTAATTTAGATCTCAACCTTTTTATCAAAAAAAAATGCAATTTAATCGATATATTCATTCAACCACGCGTTTACTTGAAAGACGTCGTTTTCTTCCAAGGACGAAAATTTCAATAAATCTTTTATCTCGTCGGTTTACTCATTCTGATTCTAGTACGAGTGTAAATACAAATACCAATGTAAAAACAAATCAACTACCTATACAAGTAAAATTCCCATTTGTCACCACTTCTCAAGAACCTGACGAAAACGTGCGATTAATTTTTGATGATTCGGATACTTGGAATAATTACACTTCCCGTTCAAAGACCATAGCAGCGTTAGAATATGGCACCTCCTTAGCAACAAGAAAACTTACCGGTTTATTTCGTAACCCTGATTTAGCAACGCCACAAGGATTTCATATAGAAGCTGAAAAGGCGTTAAGACGAGTAAAATTATTGGTCCATCGGATCACCAAGGCAAATACTGAAGGAGAATTAAGAAAAGTGGTAAAGAATCTGGATAGACTTTCCGATGCGCTCTGCTCAGTTATTGATATGGCCGAGTTTGTGAGAACATCCCATCCCGATCCAAAGTTTGCACAAGCTGCCAATTGGGCTTACGAATACCTTTGTTCTTATATGAATTCTCTAAATACAAATACCGAATTATATAAGGTACTTTAGAGAATCAGATATATATATATTTTTTGGATTTAGCCTTGGGAAGTACCAAGTGTGATTACAATTTATTATCACAAATTTGCATTTTTTTTGACGTGATTTTTGGACTGTTGCGATATTTTTATTATATGACTTCATATTTTGTATTCAGGTTCTGAAGAAAGTACTTTCAACGCCTAGTATTGTCTCTCAATTCTCTTCGGAAGAACTACAAGTAGCAAACATATTTTTACGCGATTTTGAGAAATCTGGTATCTACCTTTCTTCTTCAGATCGTGAGCAGTTTGTACAATTGTCAGATAGAATTATTGCACTTGGTCGTCAATTCACACAAAATTTACCTCAGAAATGCATAAACCACATCGATGTCGACGTTTCACTCCTTGAGGGATTACATCCTAGTCTCGGTAAAGACGCAAAAGAAAGTACTGCCACCTTATCGACTAGAGCATGGGAGGCACAGATGGTTTTAAAATTTGTAAAAGATGAAAAGGTTAGAAAAGAGATGTACATTGCGGCTAATTCCGCGACGCCAGAACAACTTGTTTTGTTGGAAGATTTATTAGAAACGAGAGCCATGCTAGCAAAATTAATTGGAATGGAGAGCTATAGCCATATATTTCTAATTGATAAAATGGTAAAAAATGCAGGTTAGAAATTTGTAAGAGAATTAATTAATTCAGTAATTATGTTCTATTTTACTGAATTAATTGAGTTCGTTATATTGTAGAAAATGTACAGACATTCCTGCGAACTCTCGCTGATCATCATAGACCAAAAGCTCTTGCTGATCTTCAACTACTCCAAGAAGCGAAACGAATACATACTAGAAGCGAAACTTTACCAACTGTTTATGCGTGGGATCGCGATTTCTATACAGAAAAAATATCCACACAGCCTGTTACATCAATATCACCATATTTCTCTGTTGGTTCAGTGATTCAAGGTTTATCTAGATTATTCTCACGATTATATGGTATCTCGTTTGAACCTGCAGATATAATTCCCGGAGAAGTATGGCATGAGGATGTACGTAAGCTTGATGTCATCGATGAACAAGAAGGAAAGATAGGCATTATATATTGCGATTTATTTAACCGTACCGGCAAATTTCAAAATGCGGCACATTATACGGTGAAATGTTCAAGACGTGTCGATGACGATGATGGAGTTGGAGATATACCATCAGGTATCGATCTAACAGAAATGGGAGAATTATTAAAGTCTGACCATGGCGTAAGGATTAAAGGCAAGACAGGAAGATATCAATTGCCTGTTATAGTCCTTACTTGCGACTTTGCAAAGCCAAAAGGAAGAAACAAACCGAGTTTACTAAATTGGGTTGAAGTTGAAACATTATTTCATGAAATGGGACATGCAATGCATTGTAAGTTTGATGAGTTAAAAGAAGTTTATAATTTCATTTAATATTTATTAATCATTCTGAAATTTAGCTATGATTGGTCGGACGGATTTTCACAACGTGTCTGGTAATAACTTTATGAATTTATGTTTTGTGCTAATATAAGTGATTTAAGCATATATTAAATGTTTTCTTATTTGTAAAGGAACGAGATGTCCAACGGATTTCGTTGAACTACCATCAATTTTGATGGAATATTTCGTTTATTCTCCAAAAGTTCTTTCACTTTTTGCAAAGCATCACGAGACACGTGAAGCAATACCATTAGACCTTATTAAATCTCATGTCAAGGCCAGATTACAATTCTCAGCAATGGAAACTCAATCGCAAATACTTATGGCATTACTTGATCAATTATATCATTCAAAACTTGCAACAAAGTCAGAGTCCTCTAATTCATATGATACAACAGCAATTTTATACAAATTACAAGATACTGTTGGATTATTTCCTTCAGTATCAGGTACAGCATGGCAAGTACAGTTTGGACATTTATTTGGATATGGCGCAGGTTATTACAGTTATCTCATCGGTAGAGTCTTGGCAGGTAAAATTTGGAAAGAAATTTTTGAAAAAGATCCGTTAAATAGAGAGGCCGGTCAACTATTTCGTGAAGAAGTTTTAAAATGGGGAGGATCAAGAGATCCTTGGTTATGTGTCGGCAAAGCATTAAGGGATGATAGAATAATCGCTGGTGATAGTAAAGCAGTTTCAATTGTTGGTGAATGGGTTGATTTTCTATAAATTATAGAATTAAAATAGAACTTTGATTAAAAATATATATATATATATATATATCATTATTCGTTTGGGATGTTGAAGTTTCAAATACTTGTTATTTTTTTTTTTTTGTGTCTTGTGAGATTTCAAATCTTGCAATACAGAAATAGTAATTTAAACCTACATGAATATTATTTCTGAGTGAATTACAACTTATAATCATAATTTAATATGATAATCTCGGAGTTGATACTTTATTAATTCATGACTTTGCAATTTTAATTTAATTTGAATTTTTGTGTTTGACGATAGTTTACTCGAAATTCGTAATGTTTTCGCTCGTTATTATCTTCATGTGTCTGTTTTCAAGAAAAAGTTGTTTCACGTGATAATTTTTAGAAAACAACCATTAGCCTGCTTATTTAAAATCACCTTGGTCATCTTGACCTGAAATTGCATTTCAAGGTTATTTGCAACAATGCTTGATGACGGTAAAAAATAAAACTTATAAAAGCCAGAAACATCCAGATTTTAGTTGCCAAGAATAAATTTTATTAATATACATTTTTTTGTCCTTATAATTCAATGCATCCGATGCAACTTTCATTCTTCAAGAAATCTTATCATCTACTAACTAATTAAGAGGGAATAATTTGATTTGATGAATACTGGTATATTCTAGTAAGTGAAAATTGGGTTCAGGGTCGTCTTATTATTAGCTTACTTTAAAGATTTGATCGGTTATTCAAATGGTTAAACTGTTAAAATAAATTTTAAAAAATAGATTACACGTTGGATTTATTTCGAGAGTCGCTTAGATTAGTTTTTTTAAAATGTACTGTTTTAACAATGAGTGTGATCAATTAACTTTGAATTTTATGTACATATCTTATATCACAATTGTTAACTTTTGAAGTGTCCTTAAACTTTTTCACTAATAAATAAAAATATATCCAGTATAATGACAGTAAAATTAATCAGTGCATTTCATAATTCTTTATATTCATTATAACGTACAAAAAAAAAAAAAAAAACTATTTAACGATCATATTCTTGAGACATTAAAGAAGAAGGTACTAGTATAATATGAAGATAAAGAATTAATTATTAATTATAAAATATTCATAACTCCAGAATTACATTTCAAATGTTAGTAAATCAAAAGTAAGAACTAATGCTTCCTCCCCATGCTATTATTGCAGTTTTAAAATAAGCAAATACAGATAAAGTTAAACCACAAAAAAATAATCTCTAAAAATCAAACTCATCCAGCTCCCGACTTGCTGTTCTTTTTGTTACAAAGAACTTGGGATATGGAAGATGGTTAGGAAGATGACCTGAGACTAACAAAATATCGTCTCAGAAGGACATTTTCCTGGCAAAACTTCCATACTTATTATCAAATACAGATAATAATAGTAAGAATTTGCAACAGCAGGAAAAATTTCTAATGTAGCACATTAAAAAATTATGGGACAAAAACTTTTGATATTCTGTAAATCCTGATTGGCTCAATTTCATGTGATTTATATAAATTTAGAGAAATCCCCTTAAAGTAGTAAAATAAATTTTAAAAATAAGAAAAAATTCGTCACCGCGGTAGTAAAATAAATTTAAAAATTAAAAATTAAAATCTTTTAGTTATTAAAAATACCCCTTCGTAAATAAATGATGTCTTTATAATAAAATATTTTTTATTTTTTTCTCCCTATTTGTTAAAGATACGGGCAGTGGCAATGACAAACTATGGTGAATATTTTCAATGAGTCAATAGAAACGCACCAACTTGGCAATTTATTATTTTTGATGGTGCCTTTCTATTGACAAACAAAATGTTATATCGAATCTAGATTTCAATTCTATGCTTCGCGAACATCACTAACTGACATCG